ACCACTTCAGATGTGAAGAAAACCGGACCCATATCATGCCATATATTTCTTCCCCACACCATGTTACTTGGTGGTCATCTAGTCGTCACAAATGGTTGAATCATTCTGCAACACATGAAAATACAGTTTAAATATATATAAATGAAAGCTCAGTGACAACTAAATAACGTACTAATACGTGTAAAAAAATACGATTAACTCTTCTTCAAAACCTATTTAAAACCTACTGATCTTGATCATCGGGAAGTGAAAGGCATACCGAGACCTTCTCTCTGGCCGATTTTGGAATGTGCACTCCATTTTTCAAATACAATGTCTTTGATGTCCAACTCCACACAACACAGTCTACATGCTGTCACTGCTGTGATGTTGTGTTGTCTTTCTTCCATGTCTTCTTCCATGCGTTCGAATATTGCACAGAAAGACGTTTTGCAATAGGTTGTGGCACCCAATATTCAATAAGAATATGATTGAAAGTTGGCGACTTCATATCGTTGTCTACATCGGAAATGACTCTACCCATCCATACGGGAATTCCCTCATCGATATCATCTTAGGAAAGACGTAAGAGAACGAATTGACCTTTTTCGACATCCACAACTGGGTTGAGCTCCACCTTTGGACGCTCATTGAGCGGTCCAACAAACAACGGCTCCTTATTCTCATTGCTCTTCAAGAGGAAGGCAATATCAATATCATCTGGATCATCCTTCTTAATTTTGTCTTGTGAGGGCCAGAAGCCAGCCTTGAGTGAAGTTTTTGCAAACCCAGACCCGTAGTGCTCCTCGACTGTCTCGAGGAACGTTTTCCATTGTGAAAGAGCACTCTCCTTTGAGAAGCTAACCTCATCTTTCATTCTCAACCACTTGTGGCGCTTGTTCTCCAACCACCCAACAAACGTCTTCACACCTTCAATTCCCGATTCGAAATCCGAATTCCTATCTTTAGTAGGCAGAGAAGCTGACGGCGGAACAGGTGATGGCACGAATGGCCATTCGGGTCCAGCGTATGCTTTGTTTCCATCTCGTTTAAAGCAATAGATTGGAGCAGACCATTCAGGAGAAGTGCAATACTCTTTCCACTAGAACACAAGATTCTCATCCTGCATATAAAACCTAAATGCATGTGGACGAGTATGACCGGTCAGTCTCTTGACCAGGAAAGGCTTAACAACAGCTCGCCAATCAACAATTTCATCCATGAATGTGCACGATGGACGTTCTTTTTTAGAACTGGCAACGAGCTTGAAGAGGTCGAGCATGGTATAAGCATCGTGCATTTTCAGTTTGCGAGAGAAATGACTGAAAGTGGCATCAACGTCCGTATGTGTGTGTCCCACTAACATAAAACCGAATTCGAGTTCTTTGAAGAAGCCAAATTTTACCAAAGCTTCAGCAAGTGTCAAAACGTATCTGTTTTTGTTTTCTCTCCAACAGTTGTCAGCTTGTATCCTCAGTTTAGGAGGCAAGTCGCTTGTCACCTGGATGTCACGGAGAACTTTCATAATGGATGATGCTACAACATTAAAATCATGTATATAGCAGGGGTAGCATGCGTGAACATGAACCGATGGTGAGCGGCCGTGTGCAATAATAACTGTTAGATTCGTTTTCAACATCGGAATATTTGCGAATGCCTTCGATTTGTTCTCTCCGCCAAAGTGTGGAATGTTTGTCTTGCTTTGGTCCATGCCGTCAATTGTGATGCATAAACTGTTGGAACACGGTCTCTTCGAATCATCCTTCCACACCTCATACGCAACACGATGTTGGAGCTGCAAGTCCAAGTGTTTCTCGCGTAGCGAAACAAAGTACTCACGCACACGTACAAACTTTGCGGAATTGATAGATTTTTTGTATTTGACACATTTCTCGCATTTCGCAAAGTTTTGATCAATGTCGTGGAATTTCACATGCCAGAACTGCGTTCTCCACATGTTGTAGAAAACTTGGAGAGAAACACAAGGAGCACCCATATTGTCGAATCGCAACTTTAGCAACTTATAAATATCAACCTTGTTATAGCAAGCAGACAATTTCAACACCACTCTCGATTCCCCCTCTTTGATCTTCATGTCATTGGGCATGGAATCTTCGTTGTCTCGCACAAAGGAGCTTAGTTTCCCGTACATCGTCGCATATGTTGTTGATGTGCGTTTGAGTCTTGTACTGCCATGCTCCGGCATAATGTAGCCTTTTGACAAAATCGTCATTTTTTTGAGAAACGTATTCCTATATACACCTAGTGTGAAACACCAAGCACTAATGCACACCTTTCGTCTCCCCACAATAGGTTGAACAATCTTCTTCTCATCTTCTATGAAGGTGAACCTCTTCAATGTTTCAATCCACCATGCATCCCTGCTCTGCTGATTCTTAGAGTAGTATGCGCTCCGGACAACTTTGATGTCGTCCAGGGTGATTTGAACGCAACACTCTCGCTTACAACAAACTTGTCCACGCACACTCGCCAGTGTTTTTTTGGTGAGTTTTCTATGAACTGATTGCAGAATCTTCTTTGACCACCGCACTCTGACACGAAAAGTATAAGGACGCTTCTATGAGGACAGACGTTTTGAAAAAATGTCATTGAAATCAGAGATCACGTCACAATTCTCATCGTCATTTCGACAACAGTGGTCAGTGTTCCGGTCAGCGTACGTTTGTGGATGATCGGTTTTATCTGGAGAACTATCAACACTAGACGACACCGAAGCACTTGAATGTGAACCATCTTCATCACTTTCACCAAACAGAAGACATGTGTACTCGAAATCTCGAAGTGAACTCCTCGGCACCCATACAACACATCTACATCGGATGCGTCGTTGTTAGTAGAGGAGGTCTTACCCTCCTGACCTTCCGCACTCTCTGCATCATAGGTTCGAATCGGGCAGCAAAGGAAGGGATATGCACTTTCACATGTAGTGTCCGCACACGCAATATTTTGTGACCTCTTATGAGCAGGAGATTCCGGAGCATTATCGACACGTTCGTGACCACTTCGAACATGTTGTGAACACATTGGCAGGTGCATTGGAGGAAAATCCTCATTGAGCATTGTATTAGACGCCACACAGTCCATGCTTTCCAAGGTTGTGCTGCAAGCCTGCCGTGGCATAGCATGCACACCACAAGCCATGCACGAGACGTGTCTGCGACAACAAAACAGTGGACCACTGTCAAAGGCGCAAATCAGAGGTCAATAAAAGGGAGCAGACAACCATCCCTACACAACAGCGAGAGACATAGCCCTATAAATGACACCGAGAAACACAACCCTATACGCGGCGGAGGGGAACAGGAAACATCCGAGAGAGGATAACACACGACCGTGGAATCCGAGCAGCAATCCAGTAATCAGGCCCAATCCGTGCCAAAGGCGCAATACACGCAAAAAAGTATGTCCAAGTCGGAGATCGAACGAGAGTGGGAAGCGTAGCACATGTCCAGTCGGGCACCAACAACGGAAAGGCATTCATTATGACGAGAAAAACACAGCATGCAACAACATTAAAAAAATGGAGATCTTGACGTGCAAAAGGAAACGCAGCACATGTCACGTCGGGCACCACCTTCGGAAAGGCAGAGACCAAGACGCGCAAAACCGAGCAAGCACCAACAGCGGAAAGGCGAAGACTCTGGCGCGCAGAGTTCGATCGACGACAAAAAACGGGTTTCCAAAACCCCAGACTGAGCAGGCAAACGACTGCGGCAACGCCAATGTCGCGCCCAACACTACAGGGGCTCTATTTTATATTATCACAATCTCGCAACAAGTAGTCAGTGTGACAAGAGACAAAAAACAGTCACCCGGGTACTATGTTCTGCTGGTGCAACTCGCACTAAACTCTGTGCAAGTCGAAGCGAAGGTGGGGGTCAGCCCTCAGCGCCCGTTGCTGTGCCGAACACGAAGCAGTGTTTCTCTTCCCTGCAACCCGGGAGTCGCAGCGCCACTGTCGTGGCGAAAAAGAGCAGGGTGTTCGACACGACCACGACCGCGTGTAACACGACCATGATGGTGTTCGACATGACCACAATCTCGTTCGACACGACGACGACTACCGTGGTCGACACGACCACGATCGTGCCCAACACGACGATCGTGTTCGACGATCACGTCCGACGATCGTGATCCACGACCGCTCTCAACACGACGACGACACGATAACGAGCGCGCTCGACTCGACGACAAACGTGTTGGACACGACGACGGTCATGTCCGACTCGATGACGGCCTCGCTCGACACAACGACGATCGTGTCGGACACGATGGCGGTCGTGTTTGACACAACGACGATCGTGTTTGACACGGAGAGTCGAACACAACGACGGCCGTGTTTGACATGGTGGCGATCATGTTCGACACGGTGACGATCGTGTTCGACACGACGACCATCGTGTTCGATACGACGACCATCGTGTTCGATACGACGACGACCGTGTCGGACACGACGACGATCGTGTTCGACACGACGACGACTGCGGTGGAAGTGTTGGAGAAAACTTGTTGACGTCACCAATAAACCAACACGCGGGGGGGGGGGGGGGGGGGGGGGGGGGGGGGGGGGGGGGGGGCGCCGTGTTGGCCGAAGCGGCACTAACGTGGAGAGCGGGGCAGTTGTCATGCTGACGATAATGGACCGCTGCGCTGATTCTCCCAGAACGTGAACAATGACACAATGTCGCGGCTACTCATGTGCGAGAAACAGATTTCTGCTCTGGAGCGGAACGTCATCTGCACGCCTCCGCTCTGGCCGAGAGGGGAAAACGATCGAGGCCGACGTCCGGCCGACGTATCCACGACTAAGAGTCTCCAGGGAAAAAACCAGGGCAGTCCACTAGTCGCAACACAGGACCGCCGTCTGCAGTCAAGGGATCATCCCGACCGTCCGTATTCCCCGATCGGACGGCCAGCAGGCGCGTGCGGAGGGCCCACCCGGAAAACTATATAGATGAGGGAGGCCCACCACTTCCCATTTTCGTTTCAGTTCGKCAACGYAGCAATAGCGCAGCGCAGCGGAGGTTCGTCAACGCAGCCACAGCGCAGCGCAGCGGAGGCTCGTGTCACAACGCAGCGCGGCAACGGAGCGCAGGGATTCGGTTCGTGCATAGCAGACCACCTTCTCGATGCGACGACGGACCACAGCGGAGGTGTCGAGAGTCGTAGGTCGAGACGACGGAGCGAGCATACGGCCCAAGATCGTGACGCGCACACCGAGTTCGAAGGATCAGACGGTGAGGACACAACCACGCAGCCCAGATGCAACCACGTAACGGCACGTGGCACATTCGGTTTCCGCAATCGTCTAGTCGAACACGATCATGCCCGATCGTTGAGTCCAACACGATCGTGCCCGATCGTCGAGTCGAACACGATAGTGCCCGATCGTCGAGTCGAACACGATCGTCGAGTCGAACACGATCGTCGAGTCGAACACCATCATCGAGTTGAACACGATCGTCGAGTCGAACACGATAGTCGAGTCGAACACGGTAGTGCCCTATCGTCGAGTCGAACAGTGCCCTATCGTCGAGTCGAACACGATCGTCGAGTCGAATACGGTAGTGCTCTATCGTTGAGTCGAACAGTGCCCTATCGTCGAGTCGAACACGACAGTGCCCTATCGTCGAGTCGAACACGATCGTTGAGTCTAACACGATCGTCGAGTCGAAAGCGATTGTCGAGTCGAACACGAACGTCGAGTCGAATACGATCGTCGAGTCCAACACGATCGTCGGGTCCAACACCTCTGACACTCGAGCCGAAAGATCGTCGAGTCGAACACGATAGTCGGGTCAAACATCGAGTCCAACTCGACCATCGAACGAACGATCGCCGAGTAAAACACGATCGTCGATCCATCGTCGAGTCGAACACGATCGTGCCCTGTCGTCGAGTCGAACACGATCTCCTGTCATGATACCGATGAAGCAACCAATCAACTGCTCTAAGAATATCGGCCTGTGGAAGAGAAACAAACATATCCTTCACATCGAAGGATGCTGAGAGAAGGTCAACAACATCCCCCATTCTCCTGAGTCCTCCTTCCATCCGATCCAAACCTGTCCGAAGGTAATCTACTGCCTTCAGGTTAAAGTTAGAGGCGGTAGGTAGCCCAAAGAGCATACAGTTGAGCGCACGAGCCATGCGTGCAGACGCCAATTTGGTAGGCTCGAAAAAGGTGGGCGAAATAGGCCTCCATCTAGTCGAATCCTTATGCTTGGACAACACAAAAGTTCTACCAAACTTACCCTGCGGATTCCATCTTCCTACGCGCTGTAAACCAAAATCTGAGAAAGACGCACACATACCAGACAGGACCTCCGATTCAGACTTGTCCTCGATGACAAACGAAAGACTACAATCGAAGGTCAGCTTCTGAAAATGCGAGTACAAAGTAGGACAAAGCACAAGCGTATCCGCGGCATTCCGATCGATCGGCACACAGGCAAAAACCCTGAGTTTCGCAACCCATGAAGACACAAGTGGGTTAGCGACAATAGGCAAAGGTGCTACACTGCCCCAACACTCTTCCAGATCATTCCAATCCAGCAAGAAATCCGATCCCAGCAGCTTACAAATGCATGCGAGCTCTTTTCCTAACTCCACTATCCCCCAGTGGCATGGCACCAACGGGATATTCCTCGAATTACGAAAAATATGAGGAACGCCAGGAATGTCACCGATACGTGCAAGAATATGGAACCCATAACGTGGCCATTCCACATTCGACTCAAAACACGGGCAAGAGCTGTTAGATGATCTAGCAATCTTCCGATGATTCAATATCAGATCCCCAATAGTCCGATTCTTCTTCCAAACAATTCGGACCCTAGACATCAAGAAAGCAATGATTGCAACCGGAACCGAGAGGTAGCAATACATTTGATTATCAACTGATGCACCTTAGTCAACGAAATCCGATGGTCATACCTCAACCGCACCACTAAACGCCTCCGGAGGTCAAACCCCAGTCTCCTCTTAATCTCCCGGGCTACAATACCTTTCAATCTAGAACGAGTCTCTTTCCTCGAAAATTCCCTTGCAGCTCGGAACTAGCGGACCAGTACCGAAAAGGATCGCAAATGCAGCTCCCGGCGTCTCCAGGGCTGTTGCAGCAAAAGCTGTAGCTCACCTTTACAAATCGCTCTGCCATTTGGGGTAAGCACAATAGGGCAAAAAACAAAAGAACCACCCTTTTCAAACTCCTGCTTACCCTCCTTGATACAAAATCGACCCAGGTGACTCTCAACGGTAGAGGTGCCGAAAGCCCGCCGGAGAACTGACCACTTATCAACCCACAGATCTAACCCACCCCCAATCTCTCAATAACCACAGATCTAACCCCTTTCTTAACCAAGTCCCCGAGCAGGTTAAAAAGACTATCAGCCCACCCCCAATCTCCGTTCTAAAGCGGAGGACAGGACCATACCTAGAAATTGCAGGAATATTCCCCACCCTTTTCTTCCTAGACGGCCTCCCCCAAGGCCTTTTACCTCTACGAGTTTTCTTAGTATTCAGGGCCGGGCTAAACCTCCTAATGACTGCAGTCTCTGCTGCGCTAACGGAGTAGGTACCATTTATCAGCGGAATTACCACGTTCCAAACTCCCACAAAACGTAACCAACGGTATAGCTTAGGACAGACACCCAAACCCCCAGAAAAAGTCGTTCTACAATGTTCACCCCATCTCACATAAAGCCCGCGTACTGTACTACCCACATACTGTGACTTACACCACGGGGACGTTAAAACGTAAACCACATGACATGAATCCCACGCATTCCAATCCATAGAACAAAGCATTCTTTCGAATTTGGACGCCCATCGAATCTCTCCCAGGAGTACAAGACCAACAAAGCACAGAGAAACACACTTGTGAATAGCAATCCGCAATCGAGGAGGAAAACCATCTTTAAAAGCAACAATCCGCTGGCTCATGGAGGATAGAAGGTTATCCCACAACTTCATAATAGAGTAACGACGCAGTCAATCTGCAAGATCCACCTCTGGAGAACCTGGTGCCAATGTGGCCGGTGAAAAAATGAACCCTTCCTACGCCAGTTTGGTCCTGGCCGCAACAATCCGATCAATAGAGGGACCTTTAGTACAATAACGAAGGCCCTCCTTGCTGCAAATTCGCTTCAGCTCATCTTGACGCAATGCAGACAGTTTCTTCTTCTTCTCAAGCACGAACTCCAAAAGCCCTTCTGGACCACAACCCGCAGGGATCTTGGTCCTAGCCTCATCCTCCGGGCGCCACGAACAGCCAGGCCGCACTGGTGCATTATTAATATCACCGGCAGGAGCGGAAAAAAGTGGCTGTCTAAAACCAGGTCTCGCCGGCTCCTTCCCCTTCCTCCTCTTCTCACGTGGCGCAGAAAGACGGCGAATCTCCTCATCCAGGTCATCAACCTCCATATCACCTTCGTCTCTGTCGACATAATCCCTTCTTTGTCTCGGCGGGGGAAACCGACCCCTACGTTGCTCCACCCATCTCACCTCCTCCCTCCTAACCTCCTCTTTCTGCCCAAGATATTGCCTACCAACGGCCGCCATGACGTCGACCTTAGTAGCTTCGACATATTTGGCCATCTCCACCTTCAACCGATTATCGAACCTCCTTTGCTCCTCATCTTCCACCTGGTTCCTATGGGGAGTCCAGAAGCGCGGAGTAGATGGGGCAGAAAAAGTAGATTAACCCCCAGTGTTAACAACATTACCCCCCGCCTTACTGGGACATTCGCGCGCGAAGTGGCCCTCGCCCCCTCATTGAAAACACTTCAAAGGCGTCGCCATCGTAATCAGATCGAAACCCCCAAAGTTGAACGAAAAACAAAAGGCACAACGGATCGCTTGAAGAATCAGATACGTTCTCTTCAGATTCGGTCTGATCCCTCCTAATTAGAACTCGGAAAGCGCCGGTGGTATCGTCGTACCAAACAAACACCCTGACTAGCTCAGAATTCCCTACATCCCCAATAAAAATAGGTATCCTAAGAACTATCCTCATCATGCAACGATAGTCGTCTCGACCATCATACCCCCCGTATGTAACTACCTCGACGGAGGAAAAACTTCAAGGAGTATCAATCCTGAAGATTCGACTCAGTAAAAAAAACGGACTAAGCAAAAATTCTGTACTCAACAAAAATTCTCCCCACTAACGGAAGCAACGTGGCCACCATCGAATGTTCAATCGCACCCTTGGTTGTCACGGTTATCAGAATTGAAGTTACTGTTCGGCAAAACAACATTCAGCATGAGAATGGAGATGGAAGATACACCCAAGGTTCCGTTCCATTACGCACGCTATAGGAGAAACCAGAACATCGTGAAGTCAGGACTCAAAATCTTTTAGTCAAGAAAGCACTCAACAACGAGCGCAAGTCATCCCCACGCGGCCACACCTCAACGCGTTTCAACTACCCCACACGTAGTATCATCAGGAGGTTTGAAAGAAAGAGAGAATCCTGTACCACGAAAAGTAACTCTCAGATGACCAACCCTTTGCCTTGCCATCTTATATACCTTCTATCCTATTCCCTCCCTTATCAATCCCTTCACAAAAGAGTGTCTCAAACCCATCATCCGTACGGAAACCGATACCGATACAGATAGGAAGCAACGACTGACGCAGCCACCACAGTCGGCCAAAGAAACCGGTAGAGTTCCCTTCAACCGCCACGAGGGCATGATCGCCATGACGCGCGACCTGCAAAACAGCCACACACAGAAAATCAAACACACAAAGACACAAAAACCAAAGGAAGAACGGCCGCCGATGCGAAACCCCGTCCAGCAGGCGCCGAATGTCTCACTCGTCTCACTTCTAGGTCCCTGAAACCGTTGTGATATAGCACGGAGCCAGGCTGACAGATAAAACAGCTCATCAACTGAGGCGATCGTAACATCCTGTGCCTTAAGAGAACGTGCGCACGACCCCATCGTCGTCCTAGTCAGACTGCGGTCCCAGCAGCGCTAATGCACCCGCTGGAGAAGCAGCGGATCCGCCGTCGGGAACGCCTCAATCACCCCAGCAGAAAGAGAGATCAACACCGCTGTCACTATCGGTAATATAGCAAAAGCGAGGTCGAAGCCTTACGGTACCTGCAAACTGCTCCGCCCAACGAGGCGGGCGCACAGTTCAGAGCTCGGTCCACAGGCGCAGCCAGGAGGCCACACTCAGCTCCAAATCCAGGTAGGGTCACCGCGAGGGGTCGACCCTTGAAAAATGAAGGTGAGACAACCGCCGGTCAAGCGTCAAAAAAATAGCCCGGTAGGAGCCAGGTTCAGAGTTTGGCCCACTGGCGCATCCAGGAGGCCTCAGAAAACTGCTCCGAAGCCAGAGAGGGTCCCCGCGAGGAAACCAACCCTTCAAAAATGTGCGACAACTGCCGGTCATCAGAACGAAGCCCCAAGGGGTCCCATACGTTCGGGCGTTTGGCTTCGGGCGTTCGACCGGTCCCGAATGCCGGTTACCCTGTATATATATATATATATATATTTATATATTGTTTGTTGTCCTCTTCTCCCTCTCTGCCTACGGTTTACCGGGAAGTTCTATTTGACGATATATGTATATATATATATAGGGTTCAGCCTCCTGATGAGTCGGTGAAACTCCGACGAAACAGTTTGTCACAGCCCCTCGTTTGTTGTCCTCTTCTCCCTCTCTGCCTACGGTTTACCGGGCAGTTCTATNTCCTCTTCTCCCTCTCTGCCTACGGTTTACCGGGCAGTTCTATTTGACGATATATATATATATATATATATATATATATATATATATATATATATATATATAGTTTTTTTTTCTTTCTTGCACGCCCGGGTACCCCGAGCGTCAGGCCCGGGTGCCCGGCCGTGCAGGCCCGACCGGGCATGAAAAGTTTCCTAGGATGAAATCAATTTTTTTTTTTTGGTTATACAAAGATATTTTTAGGGCTTAAAAAAAAAAAAAAGGAATAAGTTAAGAATATAGGGTTATAAACATTTCAAAGATGTACAACAATTGTTATACCGCGTTTGACGAGGGGACGCAACCATTCGAGAGCATGATTTATGTTCTGGACAAGTGAGCTTGACAATTTTTTTTTTTTTTTTTTTTTTTTTCCATTTGATAAAGTCCATGGTGTTGTAGAGGCCAGTTATTGAGAACACAGTGATCATATGAAGGGGATGGGCAACCTTCTGGATGGTTGTGTCTTAAGCCAACACTGTCCCACACACCACACGCACCCCACTCACACGCGGACTCACACCCATGTTGGCTAAACACCTTACTCATACAGACTGGGAGGATCCAACTAACTATCTCAGCTGGTTGGCATCAAGAGTGTCATAGGCGGTGATTGAACCCACAACCTCCTGAATGCCACTTGCATGCTTAACCAGATGAGCTCAGCCGCTGGACGGAGCCCAGATTCTTGGATCGCAAGAGGCGGGGGCGAAAAAACCCTGAAAAACGAATAGCAAGCTACTGAGGGATGTACCGCCCCACACACGACCAGGAAAAATGGCATTTCAAGCTCTAAACTACTAACAGTGTATTTACGCATTTTCTACCAAAAGATTCATGCTCATTTTGCACATTTGGTCAGAGTGAAGTCCACAACTCTCGTGGCAAAGGTAAGTTTTTTTTTTTTCTTTTTTTCTTAGGAAGCCCTGCCAACGAGGCAGGGCAATCCGTTCTAGATTTAGTTCCTTGGTAACAAACAACAAAATATTTCGATACTGTACTTCTGGGAAGATGCAGTAGAAGAGAAAAAAACAAAACAAAATAGACCCAAATCGCCCGCCCAAACCCATATAGTCCACCCCTAGTTTTCAATGGGAAATAACTCTATCCCTCAAAAGGGAAACAATGGACGGCGCCCTATACTAAGTTGCAACGACCTTGACGAGATAACTTGCCCTACGACCGGTCTTAGAGACGACTATGACTGGATCCTATTTTCTCATGTCGGAGACCCCAAACGAACCCGTCCTAGCGAGGCTGTACTGCACGACCTTAACGAAAATAGAAAGAATATGAAACGATGAAAATGAAACCCACACAAGCGCAGCCTCCTCGCTGTGAACTTTTTTTTTTTTTTTAACTTCATGTATTAAAAAAAAAAAAACATAAAAGCAAATAAGAAAAGGAAAAATAGACACACACGCACACACAGAGATACAACACACACAAACACACATAAACACACATATTCACACGCCAACAATCATGCGCACACACGCATACACACTTACAAACACACATACACAAACACACGCGCATATATACATATTCATGCACAGATACACTCTCACACGCAGACACACACATACACACATACGCGCACACACATACACACATATGCGCACACACAGGACACCTACACACACATAATTGGGGCCTTGGGGGTTGGAGGATGTGGGGGCGGATGGCTTAGAGGGCTTCCGGATAGGTTTGGGGACTGGTGCCGRGGGGTTGGTGAGTGGCGGGTGGCAGGGCAGTCGGTGTTGGTCTAATTCGGTGGTATAAGAGGTTGTTTTTTTTTTTTTTTGCCTAGGACCACGTGTTCCGAACCCCGCGCATCAATTCCGTTTTTTCGAAAAGCGCGGGAGCTGTGTGTCAGAAAATCGATTCAACGTGGGTTCCCCATTGAAAGATTCAACGCGAGTTGAATCTGCGTTGAATCCCGTTGAAAAACCCGTTAGAAGGGTTACAACGGGACCCACGATGATTTTTTTGCAGGCTAAAAATTAAAAAAAAAACAAAAAATATATATAGGGTTGTAGATCGTTTTGAGCTCTACAACCTCATATTTTTCTTTTTATTTTTTGAGCTTTCACTACATTTAATAAATAAAAAAAAATAAAGACAATAAAAATAAAATAAAATGAAATGAGTTTTTTTTTTTTGTTACACAGATATATTTTTAGGGCTAAAAAAAAAAACCCAGAAAAACAAGCTAAAACTATAGGGTTATAGACATTTCAAAGATGTACAATAATGTCTGTCTCTTATACACATCTAGATGTGTATAAGAGACAGCGTGCGGAGGGCCCACCCGGAAAACTATATAGATGAGGGAGGCCCACCACTTCCCATTTTCGTTTCAGTTCGTCAACGTAGCAATAGCGCAGCGCAGCGGAGGTTCGTCAACGCAGCCACAGCGCAGCGCNAAAAAAAAAACATAAAAGCAAATAAGAAAAGGAAAAACAGACTTGCACGCACACACAGAGACACAACATACACAAACACACATGCACATACACATGCACACACATATGCACACACACATGCACACACACACACACACACACACACACACACACACACACACACACACACACCAACAATCATGCGCACACACACATACACACACACTTACAAACATACACGTACACAAACACACGCGCATACATACATATTCATGCACAGACACACTCCCACACGCAGGCACACACATACACACACATACACACACACGAGCACAAACAATACACTTATACACACATAACTGGGGCCTTGGGGGTTGGGGGATGTGGGGGCGGATGACTTAGAGGGCTTTCGGGTAGGTTTGGGGACTGGTGCCGGGGGGTTGGTGAGTGGGGGTGTGCAGGCCGGTCGGTGTTGGTCTAATTCGGTGGTATAAGAGGTGCTTCAGGGGTTGGGGGAATGTTTTTTTTTTTTTTTTTTTGCCTAGGG